TGACATAGGGCTGAGCATGGGTCCAGAGGCTCAGAATGGGGGCGGGGGGGTCTCCTGGCTTCAATTTGCTTCTGAGCAGGATGATGAGGCTGAGGGTAGAGATGAGGTGGGGGGTGGAGATGACAGGCAAGGGGTGCAGAGTCCCAGAAAGGAAGTCAAAGGACCTTGGCAGGCAGAGATTGCCTGAAATATTATGGAACACAGCAACATTTATTCACTTTTCCTTTGCAGCCCACTTTGAGGGGCATCTGTTCTCACTTCCCTGTGTGTCAACTGGAAGGCCCAGGCTGCAGGAGGCAGAAACCTCCTCAAGCTGGGCCATGGGTCCTCTGCTCTGTGGGCCTCCACAGCAACCTGCAGGCTCCCCGGGGCAAAGGAGGCTCCCCCTGCAGGAGGGTTGTGGGAGAGCGGGAGGCCACTGCTGCTGCTGCTCCTAGCAGCAGGAGAGGCTCCACCAGGGCCCCAGAGTGGGGATGCTGACCCATCCCTGCCATGCGCAGTTAAAACCCAGACTCGCCCCGGGGCCTACATGCCCCTCTCTTTCCCATTCAATTTCAAATTTATCTTCATCCAGCTTCAGTACCTCAGTCCCTTGGAGACAGTATTGTGCCCTCACTCCCTCCAATAGTCAGGCATACACCCGGGAATTTCCTGAGCACCAGCACCAAGCAGGTGCATTGGGGATCCAGAAAGAGTGAGGGCTCTGAGCTCAGCTAGTGGGGGCGGTCACTGTGAGGGACAGCTCAAGGTTGCAACTGCCAGGTGCCCAATGGGTGGGAGAGGCAGGGATTTCTACAGAGCTGGGAGGAGGAGGGTGTTTCTGGGGGCTGGTGGGTAGGGAGGCATTTGGGAAAGAGCGCAGAGGTGGTGCAAGACCTTTAAAGATTTGGGGAAGGCACTAGTGAGATGCCAGCAAAGGTCCTCAGTGGGAATGTGCCCAAGTGCCTGGAATTCTGAGTTGACCGACACAGGGGACTGGGGAGGGCTTGGTGGAGTCTGCGGCAGGATGGAACTTTAATATAGGCTAGGCAGGTCTGGACTTCACCAGTGAGCATTGGGGGCTCTCCACCTGAGGGCAAGCCAGTGGAGAAACTTGGTTAAAGTCCTTTGCTCCATGTATGGGATAGGCTTTTGTCCTTTAGAGCCACACTGTCTCATATGGAAGCCACTAACCACAAGTGGCTATTGGGCAATTGGAATGTGGCTAGGCCCAACAGATGTGCTGTAAGAACCAATGCACACCAGACTTCAAAGGCTTATGGGAAAAAAAAAGAACGTAGAATATCTCAATACTTTTTTATAACAAAAACATGTTAAAGTAATATTTTGGATATATTGAGTTAAGTAACAAAAATTAACTTCACCTTTCTCTTTTTATTTTTGAAAGGTGATTACTCAAAAATTTTACTGACCAAAATGGCTCAAGCTATAAATCTATTAGCAGGGCTGGGTGGTGAAGTGAGCCGCAGGGGACCCAGTGCCTGGACTCATCAAAGTCACAATTTGAAAGGCAGAAGGGTCCTGGCCTTATTTGGAATACTTATGGAAATTAAGGTTCTAGACAGTTCTGGCTCACTTGGAGTCAAGCAGAAAGTTTTTCTTTTCATTTCTTTTAGGAAATAAGTAGGGTTTGTTTGTTTGTTTGTTTTTTTAACCCAGGGATTGAATCCAGGATGTGAGCCACACACCCCCAGCCCTTTTTTATATTTTATTTAGAGACAAGTTCTCTTGCTAAGTTGCTTAGGGCCTCACTAAGTTGCTGAGGCTGATTTTAAATTCACAATCATCCTGTCTCAGCCTCCTAAATTGCTGGGATTATACAGGTGTGTGCCACACACCTGGTGGTCCTTTTTTTTTTTTTTTTTTTACGTCTATCAATGACATACACATGATTTCCAAACTTCACTAGATCGATATAAGACACATTTAGTAAAATAACTATTGTTGGCCTCTGCCCTCACCTTGGTCAAACTCTGTCTGACCGAGTTTGTCAGTCAAACTCCCTCCAGCTCAGCACTTCCAACCCTTCTTCAGGCATTTACTTCCTGATATATATAAATTACTAAATAAATTTCAAAAAAATGATTAGATGCAATTTGTTGATTTTTCAGTTTCTGACACTATGTTCTTCATATTATGGAACAAGTGTCCTTTTCTGTTCTAGCAGTTTTATTTGTTAATATATAAATATTGTTTACTGCTGAGCCAAGTGGCGCAGAATAATTGCACTTTCATGTGCAACTTTTTTTCCTGGAAGTAATCATTACTCATTGCTTTGTTATTTTTACACATTCTTACCAAATTCTCAATCAATATGTAAAATTCCTTCAAATATTATTTTATTGTAGCCATATTTATTAGCATTCTTATTGTTTTCATTCCCCTCCCCTCTGAATACTATTTGGGGATACTCACCCTGATGAGGAGCCCCTGCCCAGCTTGGGAATACCCCACCTTTGGGATGCAATCCCTTATTTCATTGATTTTATTTCTTGGTTTGAGTCAGTTCATCTTTGAGAAAGGATAATAAGAAGGTTATTTTTTTTAAATGGCTTTATTCTATTCCCACTTTGATTAATAGTTTGGCTGAACAGAGAATTCTAGATTGAAGAACATTTTTCCCCCCTCAGGAGGCAGTCGATCTGTAGTTTTTAAGCTTTTAGTATTGTTTGAAAAATCCAATGCTATTCTGATTTCTGATCTTTTGCATGGGATCTATCTGATTTCTCTCTGGAAGGTGCTAGAAGATTGTCTCTTTGTTCTGTTTGAACATTTCACAATGTGGTGCCTCAGTCTGAGATTCTGGTCCTCATCTCTTTTGCTGGGCACTCAGAGTGTCTTTCCTATCTAGAAACACAGACCTTCAGTTCTGGGAAGTAGTTTTTGTAATTATTTTCATAATTTCCTCTTCAGTGTTTCTTAGGTTCTTTCTCTCTTACTAGTGAAATGTGCAGGGAGTCTTCTGCCCAACCTTTTCTCATTCTGCTTCCTGGGAAATGTCCCCGACTTCATCTCCATCCCTGCTGTTAAACTTCACATTTCACCTCGTGTATTTATAATTTCTAAGAGCTCTCTTTCTTGTGTTCTCATTGCTCCCTTTAAAAGAGCTTCCTGGATCCAACATTTTATTTCTCAGAGGATATTAATTACAATGTTTTGAAATTTATTTTCCTTCTAGTGCTTGCATTTTTTTTTCTGCTCCTCTGAGTTCTTTTTCTTCTTTTTAAAATTGGCATGATCCCTCCCTTATACTTTGTAATCTTCCTGAGACTGGTCACCTTGGGCTGTGTGATCGTGTCAAAGAGCTTCCTAAAAGCTCTCCAGAAGCCCTATGTGTGACAAAGGACTTTTTGACTAATGGGCTTCATTGAAGAGTGGCCAGTTGGGAACCCAGTCTTTTTTTTTTTTTATACTTATTTTTTTAGTTATAGGTGGACACAATATCTTTATTTTACTTTATGTGGTGCTGAGGATCGAACCCAGTGCCTCATGCATGCTAAGTGAGTGTTCCACCTCGGAGCCACAATCCCAGCTTAAATCCAGCCATTTTATTGAGGTGCCTCCAACTGGAACTATCTGTCGAGCATTCTGGGACCACTGGTTTTCTTTAGAGAAGCATTCTCCAGTGTCCAGTCCACGATGTGTGGGTCCACACACCTCATGACAGGGTTTTTGGAACCAAGGGGCAGAAGAAGGTAGAGAGTCTCAAAGTTCCATGGATAGATTTTCACTTAATCCTGTTTTGCACCGTGCTGTACTCGGAACTTTCTGGGAGGGGAAGTCACTGCCCTGCATGGGAAAGGGTATGAGCCCCTTGCGTAACTGCCCCTTTTGACAGACTTATCATTAGTCTTCCTCTTCTTAGCTTGATCCTCTTTCGTGACTTGCAAAGTAGTCACTGCCTCCAATTCCTGACCCCTCCAGCTTCATGTGGCAAGCCTTGTCCCCTTCTTGTTGATTGCCTCTTTGGTAGGTGCTTGGTTTCTGATTTCTCAGTTCTGCTAATTCCTCCATCTGATTTCCATCTTTTAAAAATCTGTTGACATCTCTTGCTTGCTTGATGCCACCCCTCCTGGCATCTCTGTCCTTGTATGTTTATCTTCTTCTTTATTTCTTGGCTCTTATCTTGGCGGGGTTTGGGAAAGAGCAGGGATGTACTGAATCTGCTGACCTTCCTTCAGTACCAGGTCTACATCTTTACCTCATTTAAAGGTCTCCTCCAGTACCCAGATCTAGACTTCTGCTCATGGAGCATTTGTAAGGCTTTCCTGTCATCAAATGCAATTTTCTTTAGAAAAGTACCAGAGTCTAATAAATTAAATGTCACTTGAGCCCAGCTTATACCTGGGTATGTTTGTCTTTAAGGAAATTACATTGCTGTAATAAATTGATAATTATTTAAATAAAGCAATTATTTTCTGTGAGTTCCCCTCCCTCTTTAAAACTGCATGCAAAGCAGCTTCTGGTTGCTTCCTCTGTGGAAATTAGGACTTCCTCTTGGTTGGGTCTTAGCTAGCCAAGGCTTTGGTGAAGTTCAGAGCTTGGCTAGGCTGCCCTACATTTTTTTTTTTCTATGTGACATCTATTTTAAAAAGCTTCAGCCAATGAGATTGCATGGGAAAAGTCTAATTCCAGAAAGCCAAACCGCAGCTAGGGAATCTTAAAAACCCTTTAACAAGCGTGTTATTTGTATGTAGGATGTTCACCTATTTATATAAATACACATTCTTCCCCCCTCCAGCACAACATGCAGAGCCTTTACTTGGTGGCATTAAAGATGACCATTTGTGTATAAAGGTGATGGGATCGCTGTGTTCTAAGGGTCTTGAGTTTCACCAGCTCCAGGCTGGCCCCGACCCGAGAGTCCCGGTGTTGATCCTTGGGACCCCTTTCTTTTCCTGTGTAGGCGGAGTCGGGAGCGCGTGTCCGTCCACTCCCTAGAGTTGGGCAAGTCACCTCACCTCTCTGACCCTCTGACTTCTCTGTCTTTGCCTCCCCAGGTGCCCCCTTTCAAAGGTCTCAGCATCCTCACGCTACCTCCTGCCGCCACTTCCATCTCGGCCCTCCGCAGCCGCAGCAGCTCGCCCCAGACTTCCCGCTGGCCCACCCCGTGCAGTCGCAGCCGGGCCTCAGCGCCCACATGGCCCCGGCCCACCAGCACAGCGGCGCCCTCCACCAGTCGCTGACCCCGCTGCCCACCCTGCAGTTCCAGGACGTCACAGGTCCCTCCTTCCTACCTCAGGCCCTGCACCAGCAATACCTCCTGCAGCAGCAGCTCCTGGAAGCCCAGCACCGCAGGCTCGTCTCGCACCCCAGGTGGGCTACCTGGAGAGGGGGCGGGGCCAGTGAAAAGGGTGGGGGGGAGGACAGGGCCAAAGGCAAGGACACTGGCTTCTTCCCGCCAAACTGGGCCTGTAGTCACCAGGAGACTGTGCAGGAGGTAGCTTTTGCCTCAGTTGGTGACATTCATTTCAGGCAGTGGGCACTACTGTGACCCTAGTATGTGTCCCTGTCACATCATCCAGGTGCAGGGTTGGTGGTTGGGTAACCAGCAGTCCATGATGCTGACAGTGGACCTTTGACTCATGTGGGAGGTCCCCTAAGTCTCCTGATAAACTGATTCTCACACCCAAGAACTATAAAAAATACCAAAGGATGTTGGTTCCAGCTCTGCCTTCAAAGGCGATGGTCTAGTCAGAGTCCAGTTGTATACCATGAAACAGCTGGAGAGGAAATTTAGTCAACACCAATCAAACGGGTCTGAAGTAGCTGTGGGGACCTGGGCAAGTCACCTCACCTCTCTGACCCTCAAATTGCTAAGAAAAAGAATTGGATTACCATAATGGCTCTCAATTTTTTGGTTCTCCAAACTCTTTTTACATTCTTAAAAATTAATGACTTTAAAGAACTTGTGTTTATGTAGGTTAGAATGTTGATGCTTCCCATATTAGTTAAAAATTATTTAGGAACTCATGTAAAAACAACAAACTTATGTTAAACCAATAAAGTATTTTTATTAAAAATGACTATATATAAATTTAGTGAGGAATGAGTTTTTTTAAAATGTATTTGAAAATCTCTTTAATATACAGCTTAATAGAAAACAGTTGTGTCTTTGCGTTTATTTCTGCACTAAATCTTGCAGAAACACATACACAAAGTTTCTGGGAAACCCCAGTGTTCACCTGTGAGAAAATAAGGATGAAAAGGCAAATAACATCATAGTCTTGTTAAGAACATTGTTTTGAGCTCTTGAACCACTGGAAGGGGTTCGGGGACCCCCAAGGGTACTGGGGCACTTTGAGAGCCACAGGACTGCATGATCGCTAAAGCCCTAAGCTTCCATGGCTGGAGGGTTTGGGGTGCCTGGGACAACAGGTGAGTGTTGAAGGGGTCAGGAAGGAGAGGTCACCATGATCTGGGGTGTTCTGGAAAGCCTTGCTGGTGGAGGCAGACTTTGACCTGGGCCATGAACACTGGAAGAGTATGGAGAAGGAAGAAGAGAAGAAGAACATGGTGGGAACAGAGGAGAGGAGGAGAGGGCTAACAGGAGAGGGTTCTGTATGTTTGAAGATGGTCCATTAGGGACAGAGCAGGAGCAACAGAAAAGGCTGAGGAGGTGACAGTTTGAGGGGGGCCAGGTGGTCTACTGCAGACACACCTAGAGAGAGATGTCAATTTAGTGGGCAGCCTGGAGACAGCTGGAATGTCAGAGTCACCAACTCCTGAGCCTCTGGGAAGCTTCCTTAGAGGTTGAGGAGAAGGTGGAGCCCACTGCCCTGTAGTGGTTGGAGGAGTGGGGCATCCTCAGGGTGGCCGGGTCACTTAGAGCTCCTGGGAGCAGGGCTGGCTGAGGCAGCCCTTGACACCTTGGGACCCCTTTCTTTGCCCGTGTAGGCGGAGTCAGGAGCGTGTGTCCGTCCATCCCCACCGCCTCCACCCCAGCTTCGACTTCGGCCACCAACTGCAGACGCCTCAGCCCAGGTATTTGGCTGAGGGCACTGACTGGTGAGTCTCTGGGGTCCCGGGGGAGGGAAGAAGGTGGGTCTTGCCAGATCCAGGGATTTTTTGTTTTCCTTCACTTTGAATGATGTAGGAAGCCTTGTCCTTAGTCCCCAGCCTTTGCGCCTGTTCCCAGCCAATCTCATGGCCAGATGGCTTCACCTGGGCCTTGTTCCAGCAATTAGCTCAGATGTAACTGGGCACCACCATGTGTCCAACCTGGGGCCCAGTGTTCATGGTCCTGCAGGGGACGGAGAGACAGGGATGCAAAACATTTCCCAAGTTCAGTGGAGCTATGAACTAGTGATCCCTGGGAGAAAGACAGGAAAACAATTCCAAGAAGGTGAGGGAGTCGGGGAAGGCTTCCTGGAGGGGGTGGTGTTGAGGGATGGAGATAGCTGGCTACCTTGGAGGTAAAGGTGGGGAGAAAGCTGAGAGTTTTGGTTTTGTTGAGCCTCAAGGCAGAGGGCACCTGTGAAGTCTTCCCATCATTTCCTGCACTTGGCACAGAGGTCTTTGTTGTCCTGGGATGTAAGGTTGTTTGGTTTTGGATCCTGGGCCCCACCCAGCTCTCTGTTTCTAGCTCAAAAGAGGGCTCATCTTAACTGATTAGAACCCTCAAATACTTTTAAAAGATGTGCAGTTTGCTGAGGATTTTGAGGTAAAGAGCATCATGTCTGCAATGTATTTCTAAAGAATTCAGTTTAAAAAATTGTCTCTCCACAGAGGTGTGTGGGTGTGTATGTATATTAATGTGTTATATATGTGTATATATACGTAATTCTGTATGTATATGGACATATATTATATATGTATATATATATATATATAACACACACATATATCATATATATATATATATATATATATATATATATATATATGAGAGAGGGGGGGGAAATAAAAATACAGTAAAGTAGTAAGATGCTAACATTTGAGGAATCTGGGTTGAGGGTATTCAGGAATTCTTTGTTTTTCTTGCAACTGTTAGGTGAAAAATGTATTTTAAAAAAAGTAAAAATAAAAATAATCCCTTAATGGAAAGAATGGACTATTTTTAAAATGGATGTGCCATTGTGTCATTTTCTAGCCATCTGGTCAGGCAACTGGCTTAGTTAAGGGTGGCTTTGGGAGTCCCTTCCATGACACCTAGGAATGATTCAAAAGGGCAGTTCTGATTGGTTGGATGCCAAGGGCACTTCTGAGTGCAGTGAAGAGTTGGTTCAGCACGTTCCGTCGTTCCCAGTCCTCTGCTTGTTCTCAGGTACACTCTCTGCTAAATTGAACAATCCCTTAAAAGATAGATTACATTGCTGCCAACCTTAACCCAGCCTTTTTCTAATTAGCAGATTCAAATTAGGAAGATTTAATTGCAGTTTGAATTAAATTCCGTCCCTCAGCAGTGAAGTCAATTCAATTTGATTCCATTCAGCACACATGGAGCTCCATTGCATACGGCTCAGTAATTTGAATACACACACAGGGTCCAATGAAGCATGTGAGATTGGACAGGTGATAGGAAGGGATTGTCCTGGTCAAATGTCAGGAGGAACAGTGCAGGTGTTAGCTTGTCCCCTGGCTTACTTTCTTGAGCCAAATTTTCTCTTCCTTCTCATTTCAACCATTCTACCTTCTTGGCCCCTGCTGTCCAAAGAAACAAAGCTGGTCCATGTCTCAGAGTTCTACCTGGGTCTATCCCTGAGCCCCCTCTGCCTATCCAGCCCTCACTTCCCAGGTAGAAAGCTGTTTCCAGTGCAACAGGGGCAGTTTCTCCTCCCTTATAATGAGCTCTGCTCCAGCAAGGGCTGGCCTAGCGGTGCTCAGGGATGTTTTGTAATTGTGATCATGCTAACTGCATCCCAACCCTCTTTCCCAGAGAGGCCTCTTCTGCCAGGAGATGGGAGCCTGGTAATTGGATTACAGGAAATGCATTGTAGGAGGGGCTACTCTCACCCTCTGCAAGGAGCCTCTGGGGGACGGGGTAGTATGTCTGCAGCAGCCTCCTCCCCCTTTTCTTTACAGAAGTATCAAAAAACATTGAATTCTGCCCTAGGTCATTTAGGAATTCTGCAGCAGGCCTTGTCTAGCCCCGGGTTTAAGGCTGCCCCAGATTTTGCCCTTATTTGGAATATCTTTGCTTTCCTGAAGCAGCTTCTTCAGCTGGGCATCTTGGCCTGAGCTCTGGTGGGACCAGCAGCTCTTTGGAGATGAATCTCAAAAATTCCCCATCTCTTTGCCTTGTCCAATAACCTGACCCTGACCTTGAACCACAGCCCCGTATCCCCAGTGTCTCCATCTTAGTCACTCTCCTTCTCTCAGTCCTGGCTTCTCAATCCCAACTCTGACCTTGCAACTCATAGACGAAAGCCTGTTCCTCATGGTCCTAGCCCTATCTAGGCAGAGGTCTCCAGGGACAGGGGACCTGTGAGCAGAGGGTGGGAGGAGCATGAGAGTCTCCCTCGCCCATAGGCAGCCCTGACTTAGCCAAGTCTCCAGAGCTCTTGTAGCCTGAAGTCACCCACAGATGGTGCTGACATTTTGAAGGCCAGTTTCCTGAAGAGAACCTGAGGGTCTGCTTAGCAACCAGGGCATGCCATGTTTCAAGAAAATTGATAGAGAAAAATAAGATTGAGCTGTTTGTTTAGACACAGATGAAAAACAAATGCATGGAGACAAAGTCCACATACACACAGAAATCTACAACATGGTTCTGGGTTAACTCTGTGACTTTAGGCGCACGGGATATTCCTAGGACATTCCCAACCAAAAACCAACCAACCAGCCAACCAACTAAATAAAAGTCAAAAACATCAGTTAACTGTTCCTTTTTTGGCTGTGGCAACAGCAGAAAATGAGAAGCCCTGCTTCTTTAGGAGCTGATACCTTCTAGGACGAGTTCCCATCTAAACTGCTTAAGGGCTGGGGAAACTGTGCCCAGCTGACCAAGCCCTTGTCCAGGAAGGATTTTTCTAATGGTTCTATTGTTCTTTTCTTCTTATTTGTAGCTTCTTAAGGTGGAATCTGAAGTAATGATTTGGATCTTTCTTCTTTTCTAATATAAGCATATAAAGCTATGAATTTTTCTTTAAGGAACAGGAATTTCCTAATATCTAGGATGATTTATTTTTTTGACAAATCTTTATAGACAGCATATAGTTGGCTACTGTTTTCCAGTTGACAATCTCTGTTTGTTAAGGGGAATGTTTACATTTAATAAAATTTTCATTTAATAAAATTACCTATGTGGTTGGGATTAAATACACCATCTTACTCTTTGTTTTCTATTTGCCCATTTTAAAATTATTATTTCCTACTCCATGCCTTCTTTTTCATTGGTTGAGTATTTTTAGGGTTAAATATTGGCCTCATAGTCTTACCATTTTATTTTGTTATTATATTTTGTGAACATACTTGGCTTACAATATGCATATTTAGTTTTTTACTTTATCTAAAATAGAATTATACTGTTTTGTATCTAATATAAAACTCTTACAACAGTATACTTTCATTATCCCTTTCCCATCCGTGTTATTCCTTTTGTAGATTTTATCCATATATATGTTATAACCCCTATAATACATTGCTAGGATTTTTGCTTTAACCAGGAGTTCAGCAAACTATGACTCGAAGGTCCAGTCTGGCCCATACCTTGTTTTGTAAATAAAGTTTTGTTGGAACACAATTACACCTATTTGTTTACATGCAGTTTGTGGCTGCTTTTGAACTACAATACACATTTGGAGTAATTGTGGCAGAGAAAGTATAATCCTTGAACCCTAAAATACTGTCTCTAATCCTTTACAAAAAAAAATTGCCAATTTTTGCTCTTAACAACCAAACTTCAAAGAAAAGTTTTTAAATGGAGAAAAATCCCCCACACAATTGTCATCTCTGATATTCTTTATTCCTTTGTATAGATTTAAGTTTCTATCTGGTATTGTTTTTCTTCTGTCCATAGATTCTTCTTGAATATTTCTAGTGCAGGTCTACTGGTAGTGTGTTCTCTCAAATTCTGTTTGTCTGAAAATGTCTTATTTCACCTTCATTTTGAAGGATATTTTTGCTGGGTTTTCTAGGTTTGTTTGTTTGTTTTCATTCAGGAGATTAAAGATGTTATTTCATTGTCTTCTGGCTTTCTTTGTTCCTAGTTTATGATAATGAAAAATTTATGATAATTCTTATCCACTTTCTTCTGTGTCTAATAGGTCTTTTTTCCTTGGGTTGGTTTATTTATTTATATATTTGAGATAGGGCCTTACTCTGTTGCCCAAGATGGTCTTGAACTCCTAGGCTCAAGCCTCCCAAGTGGCTCACCACTTGGTCTGGCTCTGGTTTAAATTTTTTATCTTCACTAATGTTTTCTAGGAATTTGATTATTATGTGCCTTAAGGTGACTTTCTTTGTGTTATTCTGCTCAAAGTCTATTGAACTCTTTGAATCTATGAATTCATCAGATTTGGAATTTTTCAGTCAGTTTTTCTCTAAAATATATTTTTTAAAATCCTTTACCTTCCACCTTCCCCCTTTGAATTTTACCAACCACTGAGTATTGTCACTGAGAGTGTTAATGTTTCAGTCTTTTTTTTTTTTTTTTTTTTTGCCTGTGTGCTTTGTTTGATAATATTTTTATCACTGTCTCTAAGTCACTAATCTTTTGTTCTACGGTATCTAACCTGCTGTTAATGCAACCCAGGGAATTTTCTATTTCAAATGTTGCATTTTTTGTCTTTGGACGTTCTATTTAGGTCATTTCCCTCCATATTTCATTTTTCTCTTCCCTGTGTATATGTCTTCATTTACAATTTAAATATGATTAGAATAGCTATTTGAGCATCTTTGTTTGCTATGTCACTATCTTTGTCATTTCTGTGTCTTGGGGTGTTTCTGTGGCTTCATTTTTCATCTGATTATGAGACATGTTACTCATTTTCAGCCTGTCCAATAATTTTCTATTGAATGATGGACATGATGAATTATATATTGTTGAGTTACTAGATTTGTTTTCTTCATTTGGAGAGTGTTGGACTTTGTTCTGGTGAGCAATACTTGAAGTTCATTTTGATCATTTGGAGGCTTGGTAAGTCTTATTACAGGAGCTCTAGAATATGCCTAGATTAGAGAGTTCTCAAGACTTTCCCTAAAAAAGCTTATCCACAAGCTTCAAAGGCCTTCTGGGTCTCCATTGGATGCCCTGAGTGATTCATAGGACTCCGTGCTGATGTGTTAGGACTTGAATGCTTCCCAACCCTGTCTAACTCCTGGGAAAAAAGTATTCCCTATTTCTTCCTATTTCATGTGCGCTCTTTGTTCAACATGATGGGGGTCTGTGCCACATGTACATTATCTTAGTATTCAACAAGGACTCAAGTAAAGACTCTCTGTAGCTTTCTGGAGCTCCTCCTCTCCAAAACACTCTACCACAACTTTCAGGGAGCTCAGCCTCCCTGAAATAGGATCTCTGATCCTCAACTCATGGAGACCACCATGCTCTGCTTAGGGTTCCCTTCCCTGTTCAAGGTCTAGAGGCAACTTCATGTGAAAAGGTAGGGAGGTGGCAGGGCTCACCTTGTTTTCCTTCTTCCAGGGATCACTGCTCTGCGCTGTTTGTTGTAAGTGTCTGAAAACAGATTGCATATATCCTGTCTGGTTTTCTAGTGGTTTACAATAGGAGGGTGCATCTGATTCCTGCTACCCTCACATATGGCTGGAAACAGAAATTTCTTTAATGACTGTCTTTCTCTATCTGTCTGACCGTCTGTCTGTCTAGATAGATAGATAGACAGATATTTAATGCTTTCATTGGAGAAAACAGGCTGTTCTTCCTGGAGAGTTTCCCCTTCTCTAGATTTTGCTGGTACTCTATAGAGGTATCACTTAAGATGTCCCCCAGTTTCCTGTAGCCCCTATACATGGGAACCTAAGTCAAGGCTTCAGCAGATACATGTTTGACTCTTATTTCTTAGCGATACTTTGCGGGAAGGTAGTATGTCTTTCTGCCAGAAGGCACCTAATGTCTGGTTGTCTCTTCTTCTGTGATGTTAGCAGTAATTGAAGATCTTTGCCTGGATCTTTTGTTTCTTCAGGGGTGGAAAATGGTGGCAAATAATTCAATCATTCCTTATTCATTTATTTGCTGGGAAACTATTATTAAGGGAAATTTTCCCTCCTCAACTATTCGATTACCCTGAAGTACACTTATTAAGGGGAAAACAAGATAAATGTTTGGTTCTTCCTTTTATTTACTAGTTTCCTAAGTGACGAGTTGGTTCCTTAGCATCCTTCAAAGAGAATCAGTTTTCTTCAGCATCATTTAGTCTTACGGATTCAAATCTGTTTTGGGGTCTTCCATACCTTTTACAATTATAAATTTTTGTTGCTGTTGTTATTGTTTTTCTTTTGGGGTATCAGGGAGTGAACTCAGGGCACTCGACCACTGAGTCACATCCCCTGCCCTGTTTTGTATTTTATTTAGAGACAGGGTCTCACTGAGTTGCTTAGCGCCTCGCTTTTGCTAAGGCTGGCTTTGAACCTGAAATCCTCCTGCGTCGGTGTCAGCTTACAGGCATGTGCTACTGGCTCAGCTATAGTTATTGATATGCCCATGGGAGCTTCTTCTGAGTGATTCATGAATCCTTTTGCCATGACCCTGGTGCCTTTTGATAGCTTTCTTGCCTTCAGTTATGACAAAAGTGTTTTTGTCTCATTTTACATATTTTCTCTATAGACCTGAAATAAAACAAGTCTATAATAAATAAAACATAATTCAAATTAGACATTAGTTCCTCTTGAGTGTAAGTAATTAACCATGTTTAAGTGAAATGAGTTTCCTATACTTTTAGGGAGCAGAAGGCAATGGGCTCGGATAGCTTTTCTGACTGCAGAGCCAGCTATAGAGATTCCTCTCTTTCCTTGTTTTCTCAAAGTGGTAAAAATACGGCTGGCCGCTGTCCTCTCCTCCCCTGGACCTCGTCCTTTCTTTGCTGTGTATTCCTGACACTCTCTGCATTTGGATTTTTCTTTCAATATTTCTCTCAGGGAAGAGTTTAGTTAGGGGTAGGAGGATTGGGCCCTCATTTCAAGGTCTACAGGGCCTGGGCTGCTCCAGCCCCCTCAGAACTGGCAGATCCCCTGGACCTAGTTTCTCCTTCCAAAGAGGGGAGGAGAGCTGGGTGATGGGGAGCTCTGAGCCACCCTGGCCGAGTGCTACTGGGTTCCATGACCCTCATGGAACCTGATGGTGCCTCACCCACCCCATGCTGACCGAGGCTGTGTCCCCACAGGGATCTCAGTGTGGACGCTGGCTTGAGTCCTGCTCAGTTCCAGGTGCGGCCCCTCCCGCAGCACTATCAGCATTACCTAGCCACTCCGCGAATGCACCACTTTCCCAGGAACTCCTCCTCCACGCAGATGGTGAGTGCAAGGTCCTGTGGAAATGAACTCTCTGGCTGCCCCCTGGGTGCCGCTGCTGGGCTGAGGCCCGTAGCTCCCCCCGTGTCCCTGCTTCCTAGTGCCCTGGTGGTCTGCAGGGGAACACCTGGGGCCGCAAGCAAGGGCGGATTCTGACCCTCATAGGACCTCATTTAATTTCTTGTGGCCCTTTCTCCCTGGGTTTGGTTTTACCTGTCTGTGAAATGGGAATGTGGGTGCCTGCCCTGCCCTGTCTCCCAGGGCTGGCCTGAGGCTCAAGACAGATCCCGGAGGAAGCCCTCAGCCTGGCTTGCTGGTCCAGCTCTGCCTTCCTCCTCAGGGCCAGCCTTCTTGTGACTGCAGAGTACTAAACACTGCAGAGGATCAGGTTGGGTTTGGGGTTGCAGATTGCAGGGAATGACACCCCACCGAGGCAGCAAGACTGATGGAACCCCGTTTCCAGACAGCTCCACGTTGTTTCTTCCCACCCTTGCCTCTGTCACTGAACCACCTAGCTGAACCAAGATGAATAGTCTCTAAAGTCCATGGTAACTCTTTATTCTTGAGAATAAAAGAAGAATAAAAGAAGGGAACACTTATGGAGCACTTCCTACATACCAGGCACTTTCCTTAGCATTTATATAACTCATCTTCTATTCTGTCAATCACACAGTGGATATATCCCTATTTGACAGATTGGCAAAATGAGGCCTAGAGTTCCCTGGGTGGAAACTGACTGCTAGCCTGGGTTAAGAAAGGGAGAGTAAGTCAGGCTGAGCAATGACAGGACCAGAGTCTGTTTTTATTTAAAATATTGTTATTTTGCTCAGCATAGACTTTTTTGCGTTCATTTTAACATAAAAAACAATGCATTTCCCTGATGACTGACTTCTTTGTGCCTCACCCTGCTCCTGGGCCTGGCCTGAGCCTTTAACCCACCTGCTGTTCTCAGAGTGGGTGGTGGGGGATTAAACTATGCCACACAAATACCTGAGTTTGAGTCCTGGCTTTGACACTTGGTGCATAATTTGAGCCAATTCCTTAATCTATCTGTGCCTCACTTAACCCATCAGTAAAGTGGGGGTTGCAATTGCACCCACACTTTAGATCAAGGGAGATCATTACATTGGTGTGTCTTGTGAAGGACTTGGAGCATTGTGAGCCATGAAATGGGTGGCCAGTCAGGGTGAGTTGTCATTTTATTGATTGAGCTGGTCTGGGCCCAGATTTCCAACTTGATGAGGTGAGAGACACACAAAAGCAGGAGGGACAGCCCTGCCACCAGCTCACAGGATTGTGCTGGCCATCAGGATTGGGATGGGCTCATGGAGAAGCTGGAATCCTTTGCTCTGTCTAAGCCATTTTGTCCCCCTACAGGTCGTCCATGAAATCCGCAACTATCCTTACCCCCAGCTTCACTTCCTCGCTCTCCAGGGGCTAAATCCCAGCAGACACACTTCTGCCGTGCGGGAGAGCTATGAGGTTAGTCGCTGCGTCTGGTGCCAACTACCATCCATCGTTCCCTGTCATGCTGGTGGGTAGGTCACGGGTGGAGGAGGCCCCAGGAGAGAGCAAGGAGAGATACTGCAGCCTTCAGCACCAGACAAGTACTTCTCCATGGCTCTGTGAACACTTTCCATTAATGTCTTCCGGTGCCCCTTCCTCATCCCGCGTGGGTCTGTATGTGCTTCTAGGTGCTGAGTCCACCTGTCTATGCTTTCCTCTTTACAGGAGCTGCTGCAGCTGGAGGACAGGTTGGGAAACGTGACCCGGGGAGCTGTGCAGAACACCATTGAGAGGTTCACCTTCCCCCACAAGTACAAGAAGGTGGGGCTGCCAGCAGGCCAGCCTACATGGTCAGGGGGTGGGAGGGGTTTGTCAGTGCGTCCACTCACCCCTGGACTGGTTGTCCAGTGGGGGTGCAGTTCAAAATCCAGAAGCCCTTGCTTTCGTTAGGCGCTCTGAAATTTAAGTGTCAGTGCTGAAGACGCTGGATGTTGGCATAAGCATCTTCTCACAGTAGCATCGGGTTTGTTCATGAACAAATTCAACCACATTTATTGAGTGCCTACTATGAGTCAGACACTGGAAGGTGTATTAATAAGGGATGTGACAATATTTCAGTGACTAAGGGTCTCATTTGTGTGGGGAAATTGGTCCTTCTCTGGAGAGAGGACTTTAAATTATTGGAGAAAGTGGAGGAGAATATGTGGCATTTGGGGAGCCCGGAGCAGTGTGTGTTCCTGGCACAGGGTGTTCATTTTTGCCAGGGTGACATACCTCACCTGCTATCATTTTAACAGGGCACAAGGAAATAGTGAAAGAATAACAGAGAATGAAAAGAGGAAAGGGATTGAATCAGTGAGACAGAAGGTGCAGGTAAAATTATGGGAGACAGTAAATTAATCAGGACAATTAAGGAGAATCAAAAGAATAAAAATGTTATTTAAAAAAGTAAGAAGAAGTAAAAGTGAGAAATAACAAAGTTTAGGATCCAAATAAAATGCCAAAACAAACAAACAAAAAACACTTTTAAAAACTCAGATTCAGAGTAAAATAATATAAAACAGTATATTTTAAAATAGCAATAATGTAAGAACAAAAAATATAGAAAACATAAACAATCACAATAGAAAAATACGGAAGGAATGGGAACTAGGAAAAGACATAAAAACAATGTGTAAAATTAAAATTAAGAACATCAGAATTAAAAGGAAATGTTAATAAAAGGAGAGGGTAAGGGTGAAAAGGATTAAATAAACACTGAAATAAATAAATGCTGAAAAAAGTTAAAGGTGAAAGTTAGGTAGAGAGTGTGGCACAGTGACACATGCCTGCGATCCCAGCAACTCAGGAGGCTGCAGCAAGAGGATCTCAAGTTGGAGGCCAGCCTCAGCAACTTAGGGAGAGCCTAAGGAACTTAGCAAGATCCTGTCTCAAAATAAAACAGTGGTGAGACACCCTGGGTTCACTCTTTCCCCCCTCCCCGCGAAAAGTTATGTACGTAATAAAGAGGAAACAAAAATCAGAAGAACAAAAAAAAAAAAAACATTAAGAATAGGAAATAAGATTTGAAAGGGAAGACTAGTCTAAAGAAGTAAAGATTAACCACAGCAAAACAGAGTAATATTTAAGGTAAAATTAATACTTAATTTAATAATCTATTAAACTATAAAAAGGGAATCATGAAAATCCATGGAGAACAGCAGAAAATAAGCATGCAGTAATAATAATAACAATAACAACAACAACAACAATAAGGCATGGTTTTTGGAATCTCTAGATGTCCAAAAGACATGGGTCCTGCAAACAGCTGGACCCATAAGCAGATCATCATGATTCTATTCATATTCAAGATCCACACAAATGTATGCTACAATGGCTATAATTCTGACGAGGAGAAACCTACCTTAGAAGCCCAGCCTGGTTTGCAGGGGCCGTATAGAAGACAGAGAGGCTGAAAGCAGAAGGAATAGAGTTTCTCATGTATCCCAGCAAGGGCACAGGATTCCCCAGACTAAATTAAAATGAGGAGCTCCAGAGCTTAGGACCATGGACTGGAGTAGGAGGACCTGACATTTTGGCTTGGCCCCAAGGTCATTCTCTGGATGGTCTTTGTCTTGTGACTCCAGATTTTTCTTTTTACAAAATGACCTTTAAGTGTGCTTATGGTTTTCTTCCTATGGTTATTATCAGATTATTTCACATTAGAGCAAAGAGATATAAACGTGGAAGGTGGGCTGATTCCATTCACTAGATTCCCTCTTCCCCCAAATATTGATTAAGAGCAATGCTATGCCTTGAACTTGGTTAAATGTAGGTTGGTATATAAAAAAAGGGTAAGCCATTGTCCACGCCATCTGAGAACTTGGAACTTTCTAAAGAGTGAAAAACTATTTTCAAATAATTAGTGAATAATTGAAAATAGAAATATTAAAGTCAATAAGTATGTATAGCGTGTCTGCATGATATCAAACCTTGTCTTAAAGCTAGTGCCTTCTCTAAGTGAACATTCTGGATGGGAAGAGAAATCAATAACACAAAATAGCTGGTAACAATGTGGTACTGATTACAGGAGTTAATCCTAGGGTTGGGAATTTTATCCTCGTCTGTAATGAGAGCAGACCTGAAGGGACTTGGTAAAGAATGACTGGATGAGTGAATGAATGAATGTGCGCAGGAATGAATCACACTAAACCTGAAGGTAGAGGGCAAGCCCGGAGGCAAGAGTCCACACTGGACAAGGTGTGAGAAGTGAACTATGAGAGCAGAACAGAGTCAGGAAGCTGCTAGGCAGGAGCTGTACCTTCGCAAAGGGTCAATTCACTAGGAACCTGATCCCTTTCCCAACCTGGGCTCCTTGATAGTGCCTGGGACAGTAAAGTCCACTTGGCCTCTTCCTCACGTGGCTCGCACCCTCTCTCTATTGCAGCACGTGGGAGGAGATAGGGAAGGAAACTTAAAAAGAGACTGACCCCCCAGGAAGAGGAGGCTGCAAGGGGGAGGAGGCTGTGGGTAAAGGCCAAAGGCCATCAGGTGAGTCGGCCCCAGGTAACAGATGCTCCTCTCTTTGCTTGTCATAGAGAAGACCCCAGGATGGTAAGGGCAAGAAGGATGAGGGCGAGGAGTCCGACACAGATGAGAAATGCACAATTTGTCTGTCTATGCTGGAAGATGGAGAAGACGTGAGGTAGGAGGCCCCTTTGATTCTCTCTCCCTCCTCTCACAGGCATTGGTTAGCGGCCACTGCACTGTGTCTGGGGTGAGGGTGCTTCTTTGCAGGTGCGTGTGAGTGTGCCAGGTGTACTGTAGTGTGCTTCGGAACTGCACTGGGAGGATGGGGCATGGAATGTTCTAGATGTGTTGACGGAGGGTGAGGATGCATGGAGGGAAAGTGTAGAAGAACGGTGCCACGTTTGGCCTGGGGATGGTCTGGGGCCACATCGTGGCTTTGCTTTGGGCTTCATGGAGGAGGGCCTGAGGCTCCCTTCCTAACTTAGCCATAGCCCCACTCTAGGGCAGGGCTCCTGCAAGGCTCCCTCTTTGGCAATTACCTAGTGGTCCTGGGTGTATCTCCTGGTCCCCTCAACATCCCTCACATCACCTCCTGCTGCAGCCGTTCCCCTTACCCCCACGCTGGTCACCTGGCTTTCCTCCTCTCTTCCAGACGCCTACCCTGTATGCATCTCTTCCACCAACTCTGCGTGGACCAGTGGCTCGCCATGAGCAAGAAATGCCCCATCTGCCGAGTGGACATTGAGACACAACTGGGAGCTGACAGCTGAGGGAGGAGTTAGCCAGTGGACGCCCCATTTCCTTCACCAGGTCCCCCCACGGCCATAGCCCTTGCAGCCAAACTTTGCCTTCTGAGCCATTTGACGTAGAGGAGAAGCCTGCAAGCACATTTCGTGGAAAGAGGAGTTGGTGGTATCCAAGTCCGAGGGAGAGGAGGGGGTGGGGGAGGACCCACCCATCCAGAGTGGCCACTGCCCCCATCCGCCTTGCTGCACAGGAGGGAGGGAGCTGGCCGTGCCCAGAGCAGGGCGGGAGTGGGGGGCCCATGCTGTGGAGAAAACCCAGATGTGATCCGAGGGTACTAGCTGATAGACCGGCCCCTCAATCCTGTCCTTCGAAGGATTGTACATATACCTCTCGACCACGTAGAAACCATGTAGGGGTCTCTAGCTATTTCTGTGGATGGCAGCCGGAGCATGTTAGCTTAAGAAAAATGTCGTGTGTGGTGCTCTAGTCATCTTGTGGTGGACATGTCGCTATTGCCCAACTTGCACCAAATGTTTCTCATTGAGTTTCTTGTTTTGGTGCCTGACTGAACCAACCAACGACAGCCCCAATCTTCCCGTCTTTATGAGAGAAAGGAAAAAGGAATCAAAGGTGAAAAGAAAAAAAAAAGAAAGAAAGAAAAGCCAAATCCTGTTTACGGTGAAAAAGGATGATTTTTTTTTTCACCCAGTTGGGAGGTGGGAGGGGGGTTCTCGTTCTGTTGTTTTTGTTTTCTCCTTGGCTTTTGATTTTCTCATGTTTACAGTGCACGGAGTGTGGAAGGGGCATCCGGGCAGGGGAGGACTGGACAAAGAGCAGATGGGGGTCTTCGAGGGGTTTCCCAGGGGTTCAGGCCAGGTGAGGAAGGTAGAGCCCAGCAGGGGAAGGGGGGAAGTCTGTCCTGAGGGAGGGCTTCCAGTTCTAGGGCTCACCTCTTAGCCCGGCCATCCCCGCCCTCCCTGCATTCCACACTGAACCAGGGTGGACTTGACCTCCAGTTACCGCGGCCTCAGTGTTCCCCGGGACAGGGGGCCCCTGCTCACTCCAGCTTCTTTCTTTAGATTAGGCTCTTGTCCTGTCACAAAGAGGCAATGTAGCCACTGCCTCCCTATGCAAAAAATTAACCAGGTGATGCAGATCAAATAGCATAGGCAATGGACACTTGACCTTGGCCAAAACGCTCCCAGCTAGCATAGCACCCAGAGCTGAGGTCCAGCACCACGGACCTGAGGAGGAACTTGAGCTTTCTTTGGGATGTTTCAAGTCCTGATCACTTCCTCAGAGATGGCCCTGGCTCTGAGACCACTTTGGCTGGGTGTGGGAGGTCCTATGTCCCTAACCTCTGGCTCCTTCTCTGAATCTTAGATAACCGTGGGCAAGCCCCTTTCTTCCTCTGTGCCTCAGTTTCCTTCTCCTTCCAGTGGGGAGAAACAACAGTGTATCCCCTTTCCACTCCCTCTACCTCACCTAGATGTCCTGAGGATTAATATCTCTGTCCACCATCTTCTGCATTCTCTGTTCTCTCCTGGGAACTTCTTAGGGTTTGGGGTCGGGGGTGCCAGAAGAGACAGATCTGGAAGCTCCAAGTGACCTCCCAGTGGTCTTTGTGTATCATCCCACAATTTTTCTGACCCCCCCCCCAAAGGAACAGAGAGATAGGAGGATAGAAGACTAGAGATGGGGAAATCCATCAAATTCCAACCCAAACCCAACTCTCTATCCATATGTGGAAAACACCAGATCCATTGGAATTCTGTGACTTTCCTCTGCCCCTCCTCCTCCTCCTTCCCCGCCCCTCCCCCATTCTCCTCATTTGCACTGCTTTCAAAGCCTCCCTCACCTCAACCCCTAGCCCACTCTCAATGCCCTCATATTAAAAAAACTAAGGGACAGGACACTCGTCACATAAATGAAGAAATTCCATGCAGTTAAGGATATTTGAATCTATGTTGCTGCTGTCAGGGGTAACTGGACCAGTGGGTGACAATGACAGGGAGACTGATTTTAGCTTGAGGTAGAACCTTCTAACACCATTGCACCATCTGGAGCAAAGGCTACTCTGGACACCCCGGGACAGGGTTGGGGAAGCAGCTCCCTAGGGATGTCACTCCAGAATCTTATCCAGACAAAGGTCTCTCCCAGCACCAATCTTCTGGTGTCCCATACAATCTCTGTTGAGTGCCTACCGGTGCAGGTACTGGGAAAGATGAGAGCTAAGAAGACAACGTCCCTGCCTGAAGGAGCTTACAGTCGAAGACCAGACAGGACACGTCCAATAGTGCAAGAAACAGTGAAGAGTTCAAGATTCAGGGTCAGCAGTGATGGGCATTGGGTCATCCGGGGCAGTGATTGCAGTGTGTGAAGTGTCTCCAGGACAAGGCTGGACATCCCACTGGTGGGGAAGGACACTGGAGATACTGCTTACTCATAGCCACAGGGAGTTGGGAATTTTCTCCCCTCCTCCCCAATGCCTGGGTCAAAACCAAGAATTCATCAGAAGGCGGCTCTGGAATGGAGATCACCAGGGTGGACTGGGTAGGGTAGGCGAGTCCTCTCCTGGGTCAGTCTTTTCTTCTTTCCCTGAGGCTGGTCTGGAAGGCTAGCAGGGGAAGAGAATCTGTGGGGGAACTGGGGTTGAAGTAGAGCTCATATTCCAGGTTCTAGTCCTGGCTCCTCACTGATAAACTGGTTGATGCTGGAACCCTCCTCCTGTGTTTCTCTGCACCTGTTTCCCCAGTTATGACACAGGAGAGTTGGAGTGGATGCTTGCTAGAATTTCTCCCAACACTCACATTCTATGATCCCCCAACATCAACACATCATTCAAGTCAGAGCTGTGTGCTGACCGGGCCATTGAAAAGGACTTCTGCGGGCATGAACATTCATTTCAGAGGCTGAGGGTACACACGTTGAGTAAGAGACTGGGACCTGGTCCCCTCCTCCCTCCTATTCTCTGCAGGCTCTCCAAGTGCCCCAGGCTACAGGGACTGGGCTGGGGAGGGAGTAGATCCTGAAGCTCCCTCCCCTCCCCATCTCTCTGGGATCCTTGTATCCTGCAGGTAGGGACAGGAGAGAGGGGACAGTCACTCTGAGCCCTCCTGGCTCCTGTTTCCTTAGCAGAGAAGCCAATTGGGTGATAAGAGCAGGTGCCAGCTTCTGCTCCCTCGAGCCCCCCCAACCCCAGCTGGCCCGGGAGCCTGGGAAGAGCGGAGAGGAGGCAGGTTCAGGCCTCAGCATCTCACACCCACCACCTCCAGGAGGGAGACACCTATAGTCCTCCTGCTCAACTCAAGGGACTCAGACCCTTTCCTGACTGAGACGCATGAGTGCCTTCTGGGGCAAGAGCAGCCCCAGGGTTCAAGTTGGGCCTCCAAACCGCAGCCATGGCTGCAGCGGGTCCACCGAGGACACTAATCAATCAACCCAACGCCACGAGCCACTGGGTGCAGCAGAGGGTGGGCAGGGGCCACAGTGTCCTCCACCCAGCCAGGACCCCCGGCCCTGTCGCCCTCGCCCACCACCTGTGGCGGGACTCAGGCTCTCTTCTGCAAAGGCTCTCAGCCTCCGAGCAAGTATTCTTAACTCTTTACGCCTAACGAACAAGCACAGTTTTTTCAATGGTGAAGAAAAAGCACCAGATTTTTTTTTCCCCCTGAAGAAATCCCCAAGCCCCCCGCCCGCTGGCGGGACCAACACTCCCCGTGTGGGGCTGTAGCAACGTCTGTCAGGTCCCCTCGTGTTTCATCTCCTGCGCGCGTAGAGCAAATGCTAGAGCGATTTCAGCTGATAGAAAAACAAAAATGAAAAAAAACAAAAAAACAAAAAAAAAACATGGCACGTTGCTAGTTTACAGGGTTTTGTGAGTTTAAATGCCTTATATTTAACAATCATAATTTATGACTAACTTGTAGATATCGTGGGTTCTTATTTAATTATTTTTATAGTTGTTTTGCATTTTTAATTATAATTTATTTATTTAGAAAGGATACTAATTTTTTTTATTACTCCTATTACCTCATTTCGGCGTTGTTTTTGGGAGTGGAATGCTTTGCATGCATTGGTACGATGACAAACAACTACGAATACAAAAAAAAAAAAATTAAATAAAATTCCGCGAACTTTATTTCGTCCAAACTATCAGGGTGTGTGATTGCAAGCTGTCCTACTGTGGTGCTGGCCTCTTTGGATACATTCCATACGAAATGCAAACCTTTGATTCTGTATGCTGTGACTTAGTGAAAAACTCCAATATAGTGACTGTATTTAGCACATATATAAATATAATTTGCACTCGTCAGCAGACTGGGGTAATCCTTTCACTTGCTACCCTTGGCACCCTCGCCCCGACCCCTCCACCCCTGCAATTAACCTGCTTTTCTTTCTTCCTTCCTGCTTCTTACAGCCTCAGTCCACCCAGGCTTCATCCCCTGAAGGAGGTCTCTGGGCTCTAGAAGTCACTGTCTCCACTTGGGCTCCACCTTTCTAAGGTTCCAGAATTGGAGCCCTTGGTACATTGCCAGCAGGAGTGTAAGAAAATTGAAAGTCTGACTCATTACACGAGCCTGGATAGCGGGGCCAGGAGGCTTGGGTTTTCGGATCAGCTCCATTGTGGTCTTCCCTTGACTGTGAGCCAGTCCTTGACCTCCCGAGTCAGTTTTTCTGTGCTAGGGAAGGGAGGCGAAAGGAGTGTGAATCTCTAGGATGCCTCTGATTCAGATAGAATATGACACAGATCTGGGGATGGGGGACCTATCTCGCCCTCTCAGGAAAAAAAGGAAAAGAGAAAGACGGAGGGAAGGAGAGGAAAGAAAAGGAGAAGAGAGGGAACGGATGGAGGATTTAGCCCGTAGATTTGCCCAGAACAGAGGTCCACAAAGGTTTCTGTCCTTTTAAGTGCAACATCCGGAGGGCGACAGGGAGGTAAATTAGGTGGACACATTCCTGGATATGGGACATGGCCTTTCACGAGTTTGGCAGGTCATTGGGAGAGTAAGCTAAAGTCCATGCCCTGTTAGGTTTAGGGATGTGATAGGTAGAAGTCCCAGACTCTGGTGTTGGGGGTTGGCACTCCTGTCCTGTCATCTCTAGGAGCCTTTGTGACTGGGACATCACCCACCAATAACTGCCTGGGACACAGTTTGGACTGTGGTCTCTCCTCTCAGTATCTCCCCTGGGCCTGCCCCTGGACCATGGGTGTGGGCAGGAGGCTGCTAGGGAGGATAAGGGGTGGGACTCCAGTGTCACTGCCCCAGAGAGAAGTGATAGGAGGGAGGCCTGGGGAAACAATGGCATCAACAGCTGGCACAGTGCTGAGCCCAGGTGTCTTTGAGCCAAAAGGGGAGAGGAGGTCCAGGCCTCTGGGAGCAGCCTTTGAGTGGGCTGGCACCTGCCCCATGCCCTTCCTCTCTCCTCCTCCTCCTCTTCCTTTCCAGCTTGCCTTCCCTCTTGGCTCTTGCCATCGCTGCCTTTGCCTGGTGGGGACTCCCCTCCACAAGAGGCCCCATGGGGATGGATGGTGCTGACTTGGGGGAGGAAGTGGACACCTAGAGTTGCCACCCTGTCTGGTTAGGCTTGCCCAAGTGGCCAGATGGGGCATGGCCGCTAAACCCATCTTTGCTCTGGTCTGGGGACGGGAACCCTTCTTGGGGCTTCTTGCCTGCTGCCGCCCAGCTTGCCCTCGGCCTCCACCCTGGAGCCTTGCTTTGCTTGGACACAGCCTGTGGAATCCCCCATCACGCTGGTGGGTGTACGACCACCATGCTGTCGGGCCTGGCAGACACTGCCCTGGCAGGGCTCCCGGATGGGCATGCCTTACGCTGCTCTTCGGGGACCGAGTGAATAGGGCCTTGTGCCCTGGCTGGCCTGTGCCCCAATCTCAAGCCTCCCCTACCACCCCCACCCCGCTTCCACCCCTGGCAATGGATGTGGCTAATTTCTCAGCTCTGGAGCCGGCCACACCAGGGGGTGATTTGGTTGCCCCTGGTAAGTGAAAGGATTATCCTCAGTGTTGATTGTCCTTTTTTGTAATCCTCCTGCTGTTCTGTTCTGTTGTGCTGTGCAACATTTTGCTACATAGACTATTTTATAGCAGAAAGCTAGAAGAATATTTATTATGAATATTAAAGCAATAGTGCATCAATGAAAAGGCGAAGACATTAGGAATTGTGTAAATGCTTAGATTCACTTTTGGTGGATTTTTTGTACTTTATTTATAACTAATAAAAATGAACTGCATTGCTAACTACACCTTACTCGTGCGGGCTCTTTATTTCTACGCATACCCAGGTCACATCCGAAGGAAGGCTTCGCCCGAGATATGAGGTGGCATCAATGATCTGGCTCCCATCAAATTGCCAGATCCTCTTTGTCATCCCTCTTCCCCCTCTCCCCCCTCCCACTTCTTCCCCTCCCTCCCTCTTCCCCCTCCCTCCCCCATCCCTTCCCCTTGTCCTCCTTCTTCTCCACCCCCACCCTTCCTCCTCCTTCGTGTCTCTTATCTATTTCTACCATAGTTTGGATCTGCAATGTCCTCCAAAGGCCCCTGTGCTGAAGGCTTGGTCCCCAGCTTGGTGCTATTTGGGGGTGGTGGAACCTTTGAGAAATGGGGCCATTGGGAGGAAGCTGGTCACTGGGGTGTGCCCTTGAATGGGATCTGGGGACCACAGCACTTTTTG